GAGGCACACAATTTTCTGCTGCCGGATAAATATGAAAGAATTAGATAAGTTGCCGGTTTCCTTAAAACTGACCACAATGCCAGCAACATTTTAGGTGTAATTACTTATAATAAACTTGGTGTGTTGTTTGCTAAAAATGAAACTATTTTTATTACTCTTTTGAGATAGTTTGCTATTGGGAATGGAAAAACTCTATTAATAAATTCTCATATACGAATGAGCAAATACACACATCATATTTTTAACTTTAGAGCTGCTGTGACTGCCATCCAGGCATGTGTGCTTTTAAATTGTTGAATTTTCTAGAACTGAACATCCAGCTGAAGAGAAAGCAAAAGCTTGCTCATTACTTTGTGACATTTTAATTTATTCTAATGAAGATATCACAGTACTATGAATTTTGGATATTACAGTTCAAAAATTATACATATTAAATTGTGTCCAGATTTAGTGGTACTTACAAGAGACCTTTCAAAAGCAATGAGACTTTCTAATATTGCAAGTTTTTCTGTATATTATTTCTACCTTCTCTTTTTTTTTCCTGGTCAGATAATGTGTTCCCCTGTTTGTCTTTTGGCATTTCTAATCTAGGTTTGAATTTCCCATTGATTTCTTGGATCTTCTGGAAGAGGTCTTTCATTTTTCCGCTTTTCCGCTTCTTCTCTATTGCTCTGCATTGACCCTTGCAATAGTTTTTTCTCTCTCTCTCCATGTTGGTCACTTTTCTGTTACCTTTTGCTTTTTCTTTTCATCTGTCCTTGGCAATTGTGAGTGTTTCTTCCATTATCTCTCTCTCTCTCTCTTCTTTCTTTTTGCTACAGAATTTGTCTTTTTGTGTTTTTTCCTAAGAATGTCTCTGATTTCAGTCCACTGTTCTTCTGTTTCATGGTCACTTTAGTAATGCAAATCCATTTTTTTAAATTCCTTTGGAATGTCATTTAAGTTGTATTATGGCAATGTGCTTCTGTAGCGACCTTTTTCAGCTTGATACGAATTTTTGATATTGAGATATTTTTTGATATTGTTACTACCACAATCAGCTCCTGGCTCTGTTCTGGCAGCAAAAACAAAGTGTTTCCAGCTCCTATTTCCAATTATGTAGTCTATATGATTTCAACCATCTGACTGGTTGTCTGGAATATGTATTTGTAAGCTGCCACTTACAAGGTTGGAAACACTGAAAAATTCCTTTCTATTATGTTTAAATAGAATTCTAACAGACAGGTAGCACAGAAGTGCAAGGGTTACATCAGGCTCTCAATGGCCAATGTTCCCTAGAGATACAGATTCACATTTACACAAACCAAGTGTTTTCATCTTCTCCAACACATTTGCACCCTCTTCCAAGCTTGTGCTCCACCAGGAACTGGAACTGGAAGCTGAACAAATGCACAGCCAGCTCTGCCCCTGCACATGGACCCATGAGGCTAATTCGCCATGCGTTAAAGTGCTCTGAATCTAATAAGCAGACACTGGACTGTGTTGCCCTAGCAGCCTATTATTCAAGAACTTTGGGAGATAATGAGGGACTGGTAAGTCACTTTTAAAGGTCCAAGTTAGTTTCTATTGGGCTTACATTAAAATTAAAGAGAGACAATGAAGCTCAAACATGCAATAAACTGGGCATAAGAGGTAAGTTATAACAATTTTTTCAGTACCGTATACCTACACACATACATACTGGTTCTCTCTCTTACTCCTCAGTACATGTAGTTGTTTTATTATTACTCTATTATCATCATTATCACAATGCTGTATTGTGTTTAAGATGTTTTCATGAATATAGAAGTGTTTGCTATTTGTTTTATATGCATAGAAAGATAAAAATAGATACACATATGAAGACAAACATTTGACTTACTTATGTGATCCGACTTACATACAAATTCAACTTAAGAATGTTCTCAGGAACAGAACTTGTCTGTAAACTGAGGACTACCTGTACATTTGAAATGTTACTCAATCAGTTTTTTATTCAGTCATTGACCAGCCAATAAATAAAACACAAAATTACATTTAGTTAAAAATAAGAAAAATACAGTACTAATAAAATTACGATAATTAAGATAAGAAAACAAAAGCATTTTGGTAGAACCTAACAACATTTAGGGTTAATTCTACCATCCACTGCACAAACTACCAAACAATATTTGGCTGTAGTCAAGGAGATAAAATTGGATTGATTGGATAAAAGTAAATTAAGATAAAAAGAATCGGAGTAACCAGGATGTTTAGAAAGGAGTGTAGATAACAGTTCCTGGCAAGTACTTGTATAGACTGGGCAAGTAAAGAATAACATTTATTCTTTGTTCCAGCGATTCAATTGTTTCTTTCCCACATGGACACAGTGTCTGTTCAAGGGGTATTTTTTGATACCTTCCTTCAGAAACAGCTGTTGGGAGGGCATTGAATCTAGCTAAGGATAAAGCCCTTCTAAATTTGGAGACCGTTATGCTACTGAGATATCTAGCTGGTTGAAGAAGATGTGTGGAATGGTTCAGGATGGTATTTCTGGATAAAGTGGTAGCTCTAAATCAATGACCCGCTGTAAGTTCTGCTAACACCCATTCCTAGCCCATCAAAAAGATAGCTGGCCATGAATAACCATATAATTACAATGTGACCTGTATTGCCTGGCCCCAACAGCTGTGAAAGCTGTCGGTCATTATTAGAGGGACCATGTCAGGGGGTGTTTTTCAATATCTCCCTTCAGTAATAGCTGTTGGGAGGGCACTGAATCTGGCTAGAGATAAAGCTCTTCTAAATTTGGGGATAGTTACGCTGCTGAGATATCTAGCTGGTTGGAAAAGATGCATGGAATAGTTCAGGAAGGTATTTCTGGATAAAACTGGATAATCTGTAGCTCTAGATCAATGGCTTGCTGTTTAAGTTCTGCTAACGCCTGTTCATAGCCCATTGAGGAGATAGCTGGCCATGGATAACTGTACAACAGCAATTTGGCCTGTATTGCCTGGCTCCACAAACTCTGAAAGCTGGTCATTGTTAGAGGGACCAAGCCAGCTGGAACAAAGAGGAGCTTGAGCGAGTAAGGAAAGATGTGAATCCAAGCCAAAGTTTCAATTTTAAGAAGGCTGGATTTGCATTGTAGGACCGTGTTTGCGACGCAGCATGGTGCTTGGAAGATAGTCCTCAGGAACTTAGACTGAACTCTTTCCAAGGGAAGAAAAGACCTGTAGGGTCCCAATTGGGCTCCAAACAGGAGCTGGGCTCAAATCTTAGACAAAAAGACTTGTTGCTGTGGGTATATGCTGTGCACCTTCACAGAAATAAATATTTTGTAAGGCTGACACTGCTTTTGGTGCATTTAAGATGATGTAGTCTGCATGAGATTTGCGGTTACCCGTAGCATGAAAGACAATCCCCAGATATTTGAAGGATTTGACTTGCTCAATTATATGGTTATTAAGTCACCAAACATCTTATCTTAGGGCACTTGGCAAAATTCACAACTTTGGTTTTAGAGTAATTAATTTCTAAACCATCTTGCTGGCAGTGCTCAGCTAGTACATGAAGTGCCTGTCTCAGGCCAACCTGTGTTTGAGAAAGTAGCACAGCATCATCTGCATATAGAAGAGCAGATATGTGTCCATTTCCCAATTTCAGTGGACGAAGGGAAGGGCTGTTGAGTTTATCAATAAGAGAATTGATATATATATATTGAAAAGCAGAGGGGCTAGTATACATCCTTGTCTCGGTCCCCTCTTGACTGGAATTTCTTTAGTGTAGTGTCCTTGGACATAGTGTACCGTCATCCAAGAAGTCTCATATAAGCACAAGTAATCTTTTGTCAGGTGAAGAAGAGTTCAGTTTCTCCCAGAGATTGGATCTGGAGATGAGGTCAAAAGCACACCTAAGGTCAATGAATGCTGCATAGGGTGAAGAGCACCCTTGAGAAGAATATTTCTTTACCAGATGTTTAAGGGTTAGTGCATGGTCAATGACTGAGTCACCTTTTCTAAAACCTGCCTGCTCATCAGCCAAAATATTCTCAGTTATAGCCCAGTCCTGAAGCTTATAATACATGTGTCTAGCATAAAGTTTACTGACTGTACTAAAGCTAATAGGGTGGTAATTGGCAGGTAGATCTCTCTGTCCTTTTTTGTAGATTGGAATCACCAAAGCCAGGCCCCAATCCTCATGATTGTTTTATTCTATTGATTTATTGTAAGCTGTTTTGAGACGTTTGTAGGGAATGGGATAGAAAAGCTTTTAGGGGAATAAATAAACAAATGTGGATAATAAGAGCACTTACTCTTGCAAAATGACCCTTATTTCAGGTTTGAAAGGATAAACACCTACCACCTATCATCCACTAGACAGATGATCATACTTTTCTTACTACATTTAAATTTATAACACACAGATATCAGTTTCATATGGATGTTCATTTCTCCCATTAAAACCTTATTTCTCCATCTTTTTATATTGAGGGTGACGGAATATGTTTTATTTTTTTTCTGTCCTTTCTTTCTTTCTTTAAAATATTTATATGCCATTCTATTCACAAAAAAGCCTCCGGGCGGCTTACAATATAAAATATAACATAAATAAAGTCCCGTCCCACACTGGCTACAGTTAAAAACATAGAAAAGACAATATTAAAACTTATTAAAATATCGCTGGAATAAAAAGGTCTTAACCTGGTGACCAAAAACAAATAACGACAGCGCCAGGCAGACATCTCTGGGGAGCACATTCCATAGATGGGGCACCACCACAGAGAAAGCCCTCCTCCGGGTACTTTGCCTCCTAATGTCTTTCACAGAGGGTTCTTCTCCTCTTTTTCCTTTCTTTCCCTCTCTTGCTTTTGGTTCCCTCCCCCTTTTTTCTTGTATTTATAAATAATAATAAAAGTATTTGAAGGTTCTTTTTGTTCAATTCATGTCCACTGGAAGGAGAAAACATTCTCTGTTCAGGGGGTGGCTGACATCACATCTTTCCCACTAGGCAGGTTCTACTTAATCATCCAGCTTACATTTGCTCACCTGTACCATTGCTAGAGGCAGCTTACAAAAAGAGAATGGCTAGGATGTCGTCTTTCTTATGGCTTTTTGGTCTAATTCTTGGTAAGTTTGGTACTATTTACTTTACATCTTTTTCCTTTGCAGTAGGCAATCATAAAAATAGCACTTTGAATGTGATTTAGGGTTCCAGGAAGACATTGTACTTTCTTTTATGCATATATTAGATTCCCATGCAATAGCAAACAACTTTTGAAATTTCTCTGAGTTTCAAAAGCTGTTTCTCATTTGGAACAAAGCACAGAAGATCAAGCTAATAAATAAATTTAAATTTGTATGTTTTGTTCAAATCTACCAACTAGTAAAAAAGGAAGGAACTAAAAACAGGAAACAGTGCCATATACACCGAATGTATTAAATAAAAATTCCATAGAGTTTGTGCATTTTGCTACAATTGATTAGCGTAGAGTTATTTTTAATTTAATAAAACATTTCCTGTCTTTTCACTAAACGTCTCAAGATGGCTTACAGAATATAAAATCAGAACAGATTCAAAGTTCCAGATGCAACTTTGGAAATTAAAACTCAAACAACTTGGTTTAAAAAATCCATCAGGAACAAATATCTCTAACAACAACCAGCAGCCCTTTTGGGGTATGAACCATACATTAAGGTTACAGGCACCCACTCGTTAGAGGGCCGACTGCTTTGATATTAACAAGAAACTTGATGGGGGAACATAATAAAATTGGCTAATGATGTTTTTCAAAACATCAAGAAGCTCTAAACGGAATGGATTACCCTCTGAGCTTGGGTCTGATTGTGAGGATTTGGTGGGTGGGTTACTCGTAAACTGTTAAATTCTATCCAAGTGCAGTATTAAGATGAAGCCAGTTAAAATTAGTGGGTTCAGTTCACTAACTTCTGTGCTGGATTGTGGCCAGTAAGCTTAAGAATATTGTTCTAAAAAATAAATGGTGCATCTGTGTAATTTACCGGGTGGGAGACAGATATTACAATTAAAGATCCTTTCCATGTAGTAAGTGTTGGAAATACCATAATATGCATGTTTGACCAGTTAGCAAACAATAATAGAGCTTGAAAGAAGGGAAATTCAGGGCAGTCAAAAGAAAGTACAGAAGATATAGTTAAGCTGTGGAATGCACATCGACAAGATGTGGGGATGGTCCCCATGTAAAGGACTTAAAGTGCGATTAGAGAAGCTCAGAGAAATTGTCCATGATCAATATCCTGCCGCCAGGACCTGAGGCCAGGTATCTTTGAATTCCTTTTATTGAGCCCCTGTGCAAGAGGCTGCTCCGGCCTTCGTGTCCTGTTTGTGGGCCGCACAGAGGCATTTGGTTGGCTGGCTGCTCTGGAAAATAGGATCCTCGACCAGGGCTGGATCCAGGAGGGTGGTCACATGTTCTTAGGTTTAATCAGAACATCAGTAATTAATTGATGGGCTTTTGGAGCACTGTAATATTGATCACTGATACCCCACTGTGGAGCACAGTGCACCATAGCAGTGCAATTGCACAGCCGCTGCCCTCCGCCTGCTGCCGCCGCTGCTGCTGTGATGTGCCAAAGGCACAGCACCACCACCTGCACCCTGGCCCAGCTGCTCTGCTTTCCCTGGCCATGCTTGCTAAAGGGACTTCTAATACTCTCACAGAAAGAAGGTGAATTACGGCCCTTGTCAAGAGCCTCCACACAGCGCATGCAAAGGTTTTCTGTGGATTTCTAGGATTTTTGGGGTTTTGTGCCAAATGAAAACTTGGTCCCATTTGGTCGCAATGTTTGTTGCTTTTATTTGGATTTATTAATAATGCTGCTTTGTAGTCTTCTACCTCCTCAGGCATGCTTAACACAAAGGTATCATATATTACATGATATATGTATGTGTGCATCAATTGTGATGTATTGATTGGGTTCACATGAGAGGAGCCCATCATTGGTGGCTACCCAGACTCATCTCCCCAGGGCAGCTTGTTTCCAGGGAACAAGCCACCCCAACAATCCATGGACTTTTCTAGTGGTTTTCTACCTATGATGCTGTGTTGTATCATCCATACCCTGATGATTGACCCATGGTGGATATGGGGAGTTGGCTACAGAGCCTCATGGGAAGAGCAGCAAAAAAATTCCTTGCCACTGTGCAAGCGGCTTCTGGGTGACCACCAGTACCAGCTGCCCCCAAAGTGCCCAAGCAACACTTGGAGTCCCCTGACACTGGCTTTTCCCTCCTTGCCATGACTTTGAGTTGTTTCAGGCTTGCCAAAGTCCCCTTCACCTGCCTCCCCCGCTCTTTTCTCAGAGTTGTAAAAAGACAATTGTCAAGCCAGCTTTCCTGATCTCAGGAAGAAAGGGTTAAAGAAAGTGATGAGCCCCAGATGGCTTATGATCACCATAGAGTGGGGAGAAACAATTCATTCCCCTGGGATATTTGCAGAGGACCAGTGGGGCCAGCAGGGCAACAACCCATGAGCTCAATTATCTGTTGGGGATCATCGTGGGATGTTCACATGCAATGAACTCACCATGACTTGTTGCCAGGGTGAGTTTTGTAAGGTGCACTCATTATATTCTGCTTTTAAGCTACAAAGCTGCTGAGGTAAACCCTAGAGTTCTGGCTGGAATCTTGGGTTATTTATATCCCATACATTCAACCTATCAGATTGCTTATATGCATTTATTCAGCTTTACATTTCAGAATATTGGCAGAATGTAGTGAGAAGAGGGTGCTTTAGAATCCTTGGTGGTGATTAAGAACAAGCTAATCGTGCATTTCTTCTCCCTTTAGGTTGTGCCAAGTCCCAAGCAAATGAGGTAGAAATCAAGATGATCAAAGGCCCTCCCAAAGAGTTTCAAACTGAAGTTCAATTGATGTGTAACCCTCACTATAGCGATACTGGCGTGTACTGGGTTCTTCAAAGAAAGGACCTTTCTGCCCATTTCATCTTACATGTCTCTATACGGTCAAAGATGACACCAGAACACAAAAGAGGCTATAAAGCAGAACGTTCTGGAAACTATTACCAATTAACTATTACCAGCTTTGAGGAGGAGAATCAGGGTTTCTATTACTGCATTGTTCATCGCAACCAGGAACTGTACTATAGTTCAGGCCTCGAAGTTTACCGGCAAGGTACGTTTGAAACTCTTTGTCTTTGTAAGTTCTGTCGCATGTCTTTACTACCCATTGCAAGTGGTGACCCTTTTTGCTTGCTTTTTCTGCTCTCCCTGATGTTCCTTCAAGTACAGAAGCCTCGCTTCTTACATTCCTGCCCTTTGTTGTTTATTGCTCTTGATCTTGAGGAGTTTCCCATTGCTTCTACCCTCAACCACTATTTGCTCAGTTTCCTTTCTATCCAATGCAGCAGACCAAAACTATTCCTGGCTCTCAAATAAGAAAAGGGCTTGATAAGGAGCTGGCAAGGAGAGGTTTCCCTGCTCCTCAGGAGGTCTGAAGAATGCCAATCACCTCTATTGACCTTTCCCTTGAGGTTTCCCTGCTCCTCAGGTTTTAAAAGCTGCACCACTTGCTCCAACATGTTGTTTTCTGTTTTCAAAGTAAGCCACACTGTGGAGTCCAGAGGGAAAGGGATGCTTAAAAGTCATGTCCTAAACCACAAGACTGGGCATGGTAAATGGGTAAAGAATGCCTTCCATCTTTATTTTGTTCACAGTGCAGCTTACCCCAACTCCAACCATCCCAAAGCAGGTTTCAACCAGAAGCAAAGGACTGGTAACAGAAAAAGGCATGGGAAGCCCATCTTCAGGTATGTTTCCTTGAAACTCCTACAAATCTGGCATCATAACTGACCCAATATGTAAAGCCATTTTTCCACTCAGTGCCACTTCCAGCCCAGGATCTGGTTTGAGAAGACAAAGGATGCAAGCTGACAGTGAGCAGACATAGCTCTGGTTAGTGTCCTTGAATAATTCTGTCCTGGAGGTGAGGTAGGAAATGAATGCAATCATTACCTAGACAAATGCATACATAATATGTTTACATAAAATAAGGGACATTTCTACTGCATTGCTTCAAGTCCTTCTCCCAATGCTAGTTTGGTTTTGGTTTTGATGTGAGGATTTCTATTCATATTCCTACCATTCTTCCAGGACATTTTGAGTAGAAAATAAAAACAGGAAAGCAGGGTACTGTAAGCCCATCAAGGTAGTGAGTCATAAGAGTTCCTAGATCCCACTGCTGTATAGCTGTACCACTTTAATTTGAACAAGTCTTTCCCAACCTGGTGCCTTGCACATATTTTGGACTTCAGTTCCCATCAGACCCAGTATGGTCAGTGATGAGGAACCATGGGACTTTAGTCCAAACTCACTGAAGGACTCCGGGTTGCAGAAAACTGTTCTACACCACAACAACATTTCATTTGGTTAACATTCAACTGCAGTCCTTGTTAAATACAAGGAGTATGGGAAAGGAGGGAGGGTTAAACTGTAACTTACCTGGGGTCTGTTTCACTGCAGTAACAATCAGTATAGGGTGCTGTTTCAAAATATAGAAGCTTAAAGCTGAAGCTAAAAGATTTGAACTCTAGTGGGTTCAAATCCACTAGAGTTTGGAAACCACTAGAGTCCATATTTTTCCAGCTGATATGGAAAAAAGGGAAAGAAGGGTTCCATGCCCAGACAATCAAGCTAAACCTAATATGATTGTTAGGGCAGGGGTATCTCACTATTTTATTCACCTTTTTGGTGATTTTATGTATGTTTATTCCAGGTGATGTCTCTAGGAAGGGCACCAGGACTTTAGAAGCTGTCCAAAGAAAGTTTTTTTTAATAACAGTCTCTACTTTGCATATCTCCCCTGCTACTTTAGTGTGATAAGATTATTGATGTAAGTTATTATCTGCTTAAGCTCGATGAAAGGAAGGAAGGAAGGAAGGAAGGAAGGAAGGAAGGAAGGAAGGAAGGAAGGATATAAATCTATCATGATTTTTGGTATATAGGGCCATATTTGGAATTATACTACAAATGCTGTGAGGAACTGCTCTGCTCTGCTACGCACTCTACCTCCAGCTCCTTTCAAATTTAAGTCCATTAAAAAAAAAAAAAAGATTAGCTGTTTTGGCAGAAGGCTTGGAACTGACAGAATCCAAAGTCAAGATACAAAACCATACATAGTTTAAATTGTTTAGTGTTAGAACATCAGGAAATGTAAATACTAAAAACATTGTATCCAAAACAAAAAAAATATTATAATGTACAAACTGGAAGCAATTGTACAAATTTATAATCTGTGGTATTAAACTGTTATAATTAAAAAAAAATGGATATTGAGATGATCCAAATCACCATCACCACTTTGATGCAGTTTACAGCAAATTGATGAAAGTACTTCTCCCTCTCAAGAGATTTTTGGTGACGGAGGCAGAATAGCAAATGGTGCCTACTCCTCAGGTCAAGACTTGTTAGTATCCAAGCCTGGCCATATCATTTTGGCATCTGAGATACTTCCCCATAAGCACTTCTTCTCAGGAACAGTAGCAATAATAACGAATTAAAGATTAGTTATCTTCCTCACATCTGCATAAGCCAGCTTCAGCTGTCTGAAGGACCTGCCTCATGCCATGTTAAAGCAGGAGCAAGCAGCCAGGAGCCTCTTGGTACCAGTGCTCTCTTGGGACCTACCAAGCTGCCCTACCACCACCACTCCCATTCTGTAAGAGTGATTAATGTTCTTATGGGCAGACAGCATTGTTTCAGAGCAAATCAGGCCTCTCCTCATTTCTCATAAACGGCACGTGAGGCTTAGAGATATTTTTAGGAATTGAAGACGTTGGGTGGCTCCAAGCCTGCCCAGCTAAGAAAAAAAAACCCTTAATCTATACAACAACTGATCCTCCAATCGCTTCAGATCCTCCACAGCTTTCCCTATCTTTTTTAAACACCTCAGATCCACTTATCCTGCTGCACATTCCTTTAACAATCTTCTAAACAGCATACTCCACCAATCTATTTCTCTATTCTTCAACTGTTGAGGGCTCCAGTGATCTCCATCCAGAACCAGCTCCAGTCCTAAATTTGACATATTCCCTGAAAGGCTCTCTGACACTATATTTTTAAGACTCATGAAAAACTGCTTTGATTCTCTTAAAAGAAAAATGCAGTGCATTAATATCAATTAATAATATCGTTCTGTCTCTAAAACTCAATATAAGAAGCTCAGTTGAATATCTCTTTTTAGATCTGGCATCAGCTTTCCAGCATCCAATTCAGATTTCCTTCTCACATTAATTCTTCTCTTCTCCTCTGCTCCTCCGCACTTCCACTTCACACATTTCTTAATACCTATAAGTAAATTACAATTTGACATTGCAGCTTAAAGCAGAAGAGTTAGGGGAGGAGAGTCAAGAAAGAAGGAAAGAGAAAAAAACCCCAAGGAAAAGATACGAGGGAAGAAAAAGGACAAAAGAGGAAAGTGGATAATGTTGGTTAGTCATCCTTCTATCAATATTAGAACTATTACTCCCATTCTGTCTCTATTAAAATATTAGTTTGAATTAGTTTATTAAAAAGAGACATTGTTCCAACTGTCATAGCAAAGGACCTTGACTTCCATTCTTCTCTAAGACCTAATGGTCTAAGAGCTAATGGTCTTCTCTAAGAGCTAATGGTCTTCTCATAGTACATTTTTTGTTCTTTGTTCTTTAGGATTATTAATTTTTTATTCGTAAGGGGAGCCAGGACCAGTGAAAACCCCCCAAGTCCCATCAGAGAGATACAATTGTTCCTTAGAGCAAATCATGTGTAGTTTAGATCAAAAACAGCAGCAAAAAAATTGCCTGGCTCAACCAGCAACTCCCTTAAAAACGGTGACAAAGGGGGAGAGAACCATCTTGTCTGCTACAGTGAGCTTCAGCCAAGGTCAATTAATAATGTCCAGGATTCTTGAATAAAAATATCAGACAATTTACAGCTGCAAAATTAAGTGGAACAGTAACCTTTTCAAAGTCCTCTCCAAGCAGAGAAACAGAAATGCCTTAAACCAAAATCATAATCTCAAGTCTCAGCTGTCCAAAAAGCACCATTGTCCTCTTTCTCAATTAAAAAAAAACACAATTAAGCATGAAAATTCACCCAGCTAGTTCGTTCGTTCGTTCGTTCGTTCTTTTGTGAATAAGTTTTATTCTTAATATATACCTAACAAAAACTAAAAAGCATCAGTCATTGAAAACATCAGACCTACTGGGTCAGCCCTCCACATTTCTCTTTTTATGTTAAACTATAAACATAATTAAGTCTATGCATAGTCCCGTTTTTCTAGCCAATGATAAAAAGAGTCCCAAGTTCGAAAGAAATCTGTATCTTCTTTCTCCTTCAGAGACAAAGTCAATCTGTCCATTTCCACAAAGTCCAAGGTCTTTTTTAGAATCAGTTCATCAGTAGGTGGCTCTTCACTCTTCCAGTGTTGGGCAAATGCAATCCGCACCGCAGTAGTTACATGCAGAATCAAATACATTGCTTGTTTACTATGATCATCAGGTTCAATGCCTAATAAGAAAATTGCAGGTTTAAATGTTAGAGGTTTTTGTAAAATTTCCTCAAGCCATTTGTGTATTTTAATCCAATATTTTTTTGCCTTGTCACATGTCCACCACGTATGATAAAAAGTACCCGATTTGTGTTTACATTTCCAACATCCATTTGACATATTTGGAAACATCTTGGCTAACCTATTTGGCAACAAATACCATCTATAAAATATTTTGTACATGTTTTCTTTTTATGAAGTTGCTAATGTTACTTTAATATTTCTTTCCCACAGCTTTTGCCATTTCTCTAACTCTAACTTGAGAGCCAGTGTGGTGTAGTGTTTAAGAGCATGGGACTAGGACACTCAGCCATGGAGCCAACTGGGTGACTTTGGGTCAGTCACAGACTCTCAGCCCAACCTACCTTACAGGGTTGTTGTTGTGGGGGCATAAGATGGAGGAGGAGATGTAAGCTGCCTTGAGCCCTTTGTAGGAAAAAGGCAGGATATAAATCGAAATAATAATATTATATCCAAAGTTTTGCACCCAAGTTATCATAGTTTCCTTAACCTGTTCATCTTCCATTCTCCTATCCAAAAGAAAATTATACAATCTTTTAATCATTTTCTCATCTGATTTGAAAGTCACGTGGTCAAATGCTGTTAACTCCTTATAGAAGCCCCACATTCTATAGTCTTTAGCATATCTCGATTGCATTTGAACCTTGTGCCACCAAGAAATATTAATTCCTTGTTCTTGTATTTCTTGATTCAATTTTAAACCACCATCATAATCCAAAATATCATCATATTTCACGATCGTATCAAAATTTAATGCATTTGGATATACAAGAGTTTCCATAGGCAAAAGCCATCTCGGTAATTTAATATACAGTTTTGTCTTTAACTTTTCCCACACTGACATTAATGATTTCCTAATATAATGATTTAAGAAACAACCATGTACCTTACACTTTTCATACCACATATAAGCGTGCCAACCCATTTGCAAATCATGCCCTTCAAGATACAAGATTCTCTTATTTCATAGAAACATAGAAACAGAGCAAGTCAGAAGGGACCTCCCAGGCCATCTAGTCTGACCTCCTGCATCAGCCCGCTCTGCTCACGACACGCCCACCATGTGCATGTCCAGTCGATCTTTGAGCACCCGCAAAACATTTCAGGAGGCACCTGGATTTGAACCAGTGACCTCTTGATCTGCAGTCAAATGCTCTACCACTGAGCTATATCCCCACTTCCATTTCTTATTTCTTAAAG